CTGGTTCTAATGATGGAAGTCATTCCATAAACCCACTAGCTGACTCTAAGCCTCCGTTCGCTGCCCCTCACAACCAGTACATACTAACTTATCTTACAGGGTTGCCATAAGAAGTTAGGTTCCATCTTTGAACATCTAAAAGCATTACTCAAAAGTTTACTGTCAATGTAATCATTAAAACAATTAGTGAATTCAACAATTCTGAAAGTGCTCCAGTTTTGCAAGTATTCTAAAACAACTGAAAATGGTGTGAAGGCATCCACAAAAAGCCTCCCTCTGCCAGCTTGCACACCAACTAACCTACCTTTGACTTGAAGAAAGACAACAGCGGGCACTCCCAAGGCTTCTACAGAGCCAGTGCTCTTGCCAAGGACTGGAATGGCCAGTTCATGAATCCCTAGTGGAAAGGTTGTGCCTAGTTAGCCTCTTGACAGGGATTCTGGAAATGATTTTCAAGTCTACCATAAAGTCAGGTTGCTTACCTGTAACTATCATTCTTCATGTAGTCATCCGTGCATTCACTCATGTGAGCTCTGCAGCTGCATGGAGCCTGTTGTGGAGAAGGTTTATTAGCTACAACTGTTTTGGCAGGAACCCCTTCCCCACCCTGGCATTAATGAGAAAATACAGGAGTTCCCAGCTTTTCCCTCAGTTCACACGAGACTGCCCAGGTGGCCTCAAGACCAAGGGAAATAAAGAATTGACCTTGAGGATGAAGGAAGGCTCTGGATGCAACACTACCTTGTCTCTACAAGGTATGGGGGATAAACCCATAGGGAACACAATTTGCTGAATTGTCAAGCAAACATAATTGCCACCAAGAGAACCACCTTCCATGATAGGCAGGCAGAAGTTGACTGCAGCCATGGGTCAAATGGTTTTCTCTGTGGGAAGACTGATAGGCTCCAGGTCAGTGTTAGTGACCAGACAAGCAGAGCAATGTTCTTTAATCCTCAGAGGAACCACTTGTAAAATAGATGCGAGAAAACTAATGAGCCTTGGATACTGTCATGAAAGGAAGAAATTGCCACCAGGTAAACATGGCTGGATGAAGTCTTTTGGTCCTGCTGGAACAACGTTTTAAGGTACAGGAGAGCTCACTCAACCATGTATAGAGGTGGATCAAAACCTTTCATGGTTAAAAAGGAAGAAAAGCCCCTTTCCTCCCATACCATAGTCTGCTCCAGCATTTTTACGGGGTTACCATTGGAAGGGAGCAGGGAAGTCCATCTTTGCCAACCCCATTGCTCACTCTTTCATCTAGATCTAATCCAATAATCCCATATATTAAAATCATAATTATTAATGGCACTTCCAGAGAAATGAACATATTCTTCACTCAGCAAGTTTTGAAATGTACACTTTAAAAAGGACTTTTAAATCTGAGAATGCTTCAAGTTTCTTTTGCCTCTCTCCATGAATTTAAAATTGTGTACAGCAATGTTGTTCTACTACAAAGCAACTTTATGTGGTTTTGAAAGCAAATGCCTTTTTAAAAATGCCTGAGGTGAGATATCAAAATAAGGACACTAACAGGTGTAGATGCTCACTCTAGAATTAATTTGATCACAAGAACCATCTTGAAACACTTGAAGCTTGAGGCATGGTTATTCCCCAAAGAAGTTTTTGTTCCAAAGCAAAATGGCAACAGCCTGAAGACAAGTAACAGATAGAAAATATTGTGGAAAAATTGGTATTAATTAGTCATCTCATGCAAACTCTCTTGTAAGGATTCTAACTTGAAAATTAGTGGCAGCACTAGAAAAATATGTGGGGGTGTGGGGAAGCAAAGAATGTTTTCAGGCAGAAAACTAAGAGTTTTTATTCATTCAGCAGCTAAACTCCTGCTGTGATTGTCTGCCTGGTGCTACACAGATAATTACTCGGCATGGAAGATGCATTTGGCATGCTTATAATCCACATCTGGATTCCAAATGGGTCCAATTCCCTGACTGTACTTTTGTAAGTTCTCTCTTCCAGTATCTTATAAGGGTCTTGTGGCAGCAAAAAGGAAGGCCTCCCCTGCTATCTCCCATTTACTCTGGCTCATGCTGTGGCCTTCATCTAGATCTAAGGTGCCTGTATGTTTGGAGCACCATCTAAAGTTCTGATCAACACCTCTCTAAAAACATATCATAGAGTTGGGAAAAATGAAGAGAAGGTAACCAAACTGATTCTATGATTGCAGCACCTTCCTTGAAACAGAACTTTAGTGTATTAGAACCAGGGGTGGTGGTTAAACTAGGACAAAATAGCTTAGAAGGAGGGACATGACTAAAATCTATAAAAATACACATAGTATGGAGAAACTGGAATTATTTTTTCCTAGTGAATTGATGGACAGTAGATTAAAGAACAGTAAAAAAGGAAGTACTTCTCCACAACCTACATTTTATTGATTGAATTCACTTCCACAAGATACAGTGTCACCAATTAGTCTAGACTACTTATAAATGGGATTAGAGAAAGGGTCTGTTCACATGATCATAAAGCAATACATGCTGCTCACATGCCAGGAGGAATATGCATAATTACCTCCACCAGTGGAGCTTGCTGTATCATGTGAAGCTAACATGTTGCTATGGTTAAAAGTTACCCCAGAACCCTACAATGAGTTCTAAATAGCCTTCTACTAAAGTTGAAGAAGCATGCAATGGGAAACAGAACACTGGACTAGATGGTTCAGTGGCCACTACTGGATAAATGTACTACTTACTTACATGGAAGGAAAGTTAGAGGGTGTCATGAACCTTCCCTTCTTTCCTTCTGTTTATCAAATTCAAGCCAAACCCTTTGAAGTGCAATTCTATAAACATAACAGACTACAGAACACTATGAACTCTAAATAGCCGTCTACTAAAGTTGAAGAAGCAATTGCACATATAAAGAGTTGAATTCAAACTGAAAATGCCCCCTGTCCCTCCTTCAGGGTGGCTCCTGCTGCCTGAGGGCAGAAGGCAGGACCACCAGATTAGCCCTGTGCTTGCCCAATCACTTCCTGAATGTGCCTTGCATCTGCTTCCCCTCCTACCCTGAAAAGCCTTCTGCCCTTTCCAAAGCAGGCAGATTCTCATGCTCTGCCTGAGAAACTTCACCAGGTAACCTTGAATCAGTGAACTCCTGCTCTCCACCTTGCTCCTCCGCCTTTTCAGAATGAGACGAATCTATCTGAGCAGTACGTAATGAGCAAGAGACAGGCCCACTCTCTACAAAGGGCAGCAATTATGAGTACACCGTTTTTATATAGGGAAATAGCACTATTGTTTGTAACTGCTTGTCCAATCCAAAATCAAGCATGGCGATGTTTGCCCATACAGTTGGTAGAGGGCAAAGAAACCAGAGAGGGTTTTTACAGCTTTGCTGTCTCTCCCAAATATCCTGTGAAAAAATGTACACTGTACATTTATTCTGTAACACTTCACACAGTAAAGGTACTATTGTTTCTCATATGAGTTTAATGGCATTAATAAGTTAGGTGAGCATTTTGTACAGGAAAAATGCCCACTGTATAATAGTATTAGTTGAACAAATCCAAGAAATTGGTTTTGTATATTATGCAACAAGTTTTCACAGTGAACAAAATATTCCAGACCCCACCCCCCAAAGAAAATCCACATCTATATCTTGATAGGTTTACTTCATTAATGGCATATTGTTCATCAGTAATAAAACAAACAGACAGGACCTGCATACAAGTGCATATTAAATAAGTCACAATCACCTGGCTACACAACCAGAACATATTCAGGTCATGTCTTCCCTGCCCTTACAGAACTTTTGGCATTCTTTCAAGCATGTGGTATAAATAGGCAAGATCAAAATATGTCTTTTGTAAGAAACAGCAACAGATTTCCAAGATAAAAATAATTTTCAAAATCAGCTTTCATGAGAAAAGCAGTTTAAGAATACCTTTACGCATAAATTAATGTATATACATTATACTGTGCATATACTGCTTAATAATCTCTCTCTGAAAAAAAAAGTATTATTTTAACAGTAGTGCAATAGAACTTCATAATCAACCACAACTCAAGACAGAATGTCAGGTATAAAGGGCATGGCATCTCTCCTCCCCACCTGAGTCCCCGCCCTCCAGGAGCGTAGATGTGTTAGTCTTTACTTGGTCCCTTCATATCCCACTGTACATTTTCGGTAAGGAATATATAATAAGGTCCTTAGGTGTATAGACGCTAGTCAAGATCACTATAGGTTACAGCTTTTGTATATATCCCTAGCTACTTATTATGCAATGGCAATGTTTTGAAATGTAAACCATATTTCCATATCTGCCACAATATATAAAATGGTTTTCATATAACAGGGCACTTAAATATCCAAAGGACTCATTACCTAATTAAAAAGAAAAATAAAACAGGTATATAAATTCTGCCCACACTGTATTTTCATTTGCCGTAGCAAAAGATAAGATGTCATGCTGAAAAGCTTTTTAAAATGACCATTCAATTAGGATGCAAACCTAAAAATTAGTAATTCTTTATGTGCACAAAAGGTGTTGATAACTTGACACCTGAAGCAAATATGGTTTTAATCAGATAGTATTTGTCTTACAGCTAAACTATATGCAAGTTGTTCATTAGGCCAGTAAGTATGTACAAATCAAGATTAGTGGCAATATAAAAAGTTAGATATGCAATCAGTTAGAAACCTGGCAGTAGTTTAGATACAGGTATATTTCAAAGTCTTGTTGTGGAATGATAAAAGTGTAAGAATTTCTTTAAATCTTTGGAGACAGTCAGTAAGACATTTATATTTCTTGCTTTCAAGCAAAACTTGGTCTGTTTTTAAAGTTTGGTTATTTCCAACAGGGTCTAAACCACAGAATTATTTTTTGATAAAATGTATGAATAAGTTTCTTTGCTTTGTAATTTTGGTAAAATGAAAAACCAAACCAAATGAGTATCTTTTTGAATAAAATGCTGGGTTTAACATAAATCTCCATTTAGCTTTTTAAAATTAACCAGAGCATGAATTAAAACTTAATTTAACACATCTTTTTCTTTTCTAGTCCTATGTGTCTCTCACTTACCATTTCATTTTCATGCTACAAATGGACTCTTTCATCTAACAAAGCTTCGGCACAAGCTAGGTTTGAACATTGCTTTCAACTGCTTTCTGTACAACTGACACTGTATTTTCACAAATAAATCCCTGTATACAGTATTTACACTTTTTCCTATTATGATTAAAAGGAAAAATAAATAAAGCTGTGAGAGAGGAAATGCTCCTTAGGTCTTGGGCTTTGTGTCTTATTTTCTCCTCAAACAGATGCCAGTCTCTCCAGCACATGGAATTGGCTAGCCAGGATTGTTTTTCTTCCTTTTACTTGGACTGTGGGTAGAGTCTTGTTTCAGTTCTTGGTACTGCACCTGTTTAAACACAAAGTTCAGAGAAAAATTTCAACTCACAACTAGAAGAGGTTTTTGAAAAATCCATTTATGCAAAGGAGCAAGAAATTATTATTTGGGAAAACAAAGTCATACTACTCCTTCAAATTATACGAGTTCTTCATCTGCAGAGCAAAAACTCTAATGGATTGTCAGGTCAAGGTGAAGGAGGAAGACCTACACAAGAAAATCATGTCAGAAAAGAATACATGTGGTGATAGAAACATCAATGAAATCTTTTCCCACAGGGCATATCTTCAAAAATGAACACTAACTTCTCTAAAAGGATGAGCACAGATTCCTTATAAAGGCATCCTCAAAATAAGGGAGCCAACCTTGTCGAGGACAAGTATTCACATGTCTGGAGTATCCAGGTGTTTTTCCACCCATAACCATTGAGTGCACATGCAAATTTAGATGGACATCAAATTGATTTTTATTTTTTTATTTTTTTTTGCAAAAAGAGTTCTCTCCCACCCCCCTCACACACACACTCATATACATGTGCATGCAGACACTGCAACAAATCTGATTTATGTGTGGACTACGTAGAAATTAAAATTTCCTCATAATGCAAAAAATTGTTAAAGAACAACAAAACAAACTGGCAGTCACAGTCTCACATGTCTGTTTCACAATTAAGATAGGCTGTGAAATATAATTTGTCCTGGCTTACATATTGGTGCCTTCTACTTTCCATCAGCTCATATTCCGGGTTGCGGCCTCTGGACACACATACCTGAAGACATGGGCCCTTAGTACTATGCAAACTTACATGACTCTACTGTTGCCAAAATGGCTGCGATAAAAACATGGGTTTGGCATGCCACATAATTTTTTTACTTTCTCCTCTGATCCCTGCGCTGTATCAAAATATACTTTCAAAAGAACTAACTCATAAGTATTTTGCCAAGTGACTTGAAGAGATGCTTTCTAACAAACATAAAGCTATTTGATATGTGGAACTATATAGGCAGCTCTTTGGATCCTAGACTCTCTCTTCCGCCTTGCATTCTTGAAATGCAGAGATTAATCCAAACGGCAGTATGTCAGAGTAATACAAAGGAATTTTTCAAACACACCCACGTTTTTGTGTTGCGAAGAAGCATTTTAAATATGTAATACTTGAAAACACATTTTAAAATTAGCCATAAAATAAACACTGCCTGGAAATAGTAAAGAATGAGTTAAAATCAAAAACATATACACACCGCTTGCACATCTGAAGGAACTCTGGAAAGAAAATCGAGTAGTTCATTGTTATCAATTGCATATGGACTTCGAAGCTTCTTTGTAAATTTATTGATACCTGCATAAAATGATAATTCATGTTTAAAAAATTCTGGTTATAATATCAGTGTATCTATATTCCTCTAACAGGCAGGGCTGGTTGTAAACTCATTCTTGACAAGAGTACCTTTTATTCTCACTTCAGTTAATTTCCCCCACCCCTCTCCAACATAGGGGATTTTGATTCTGTCTCTAAAGTATAGAAACTTCAATTAATTCAAAATAGAGCAACTATGCTAAGCCTGGATGATACAATCATGTGATACTGTTTTGGATCAAGGTAGTACAGAAATATCCTTAGAATCAGAATTTATGTGCTAAAAGAGAGAGGAGTTACCAAATTCAGAAAAGCTGCTAATCTAATCTTTATATTCTGCTAGCCTATTTGTATCACTGCAACATGGCAGAAGTGTATCAGTTAATGCAAAAGGTTGTTAAGTTGCCCTTATAAAGTCGTGGTTTTTGCCAAGTGCTCTCAGATGCATGTTTGGTGACTTAATAATCATCCAATTGAGCAACTCAAATCCTTTAAGTATCTGGGAATTGTCTTTCATGCTACAGGTAACTGCTAATCTCATGCCGATCATGCACAAAAAACTGTGTCAGCTTTACAAACGTTTTATTTCTCTAAAAGTGCACAATATATACCCGCAGCAATTAAAGTCTTCTCAGCTAAGATTCGAGCCCAGCTCCTGTTTGGAGCCCATTTGGGACCCTACAGGTCTTTTCTTCCCTTGGAAAAAGTTCAGTCTAAGCTCCTAAATCTAAGCTCCTAAGGACTATCTTCCAAGCACCGTGCTGTGCCTCAAACACGGTCCTACAATGTGAATCTGGCCTTCTTAAAATTGAAACTTTGGCCTGGATTCACATCTTTTCTTACTGGCTCAAGCTCCTCTTTTTTCCAGTTGGCTTGGCCCCTCTAATAATGACAGACAGCTTTCAGAGCTCATGGAGCCAGGCAATACAGGCCAAACTGCTATTATACAGGTATTCATGGCCAGCTATCTCCTTGATGGGCTATGAATGGGCGATAGCAGAACTTAAACAGCAGGCCATTGATCTAGAGCTACGAACAAATTATACAGTTTTATCCAGAAATACCTACCTGAACCATTCCACACATCTTTTCCAACCAGCTAGATATCTCAGCAGCATAACTATCCCCAAATTTAGAAGGGTTTTATCTCCAGCCAGATTCAATGCCCTCCCAACAGCTATTACTGAAGGGAGATATGAAAAAACACCCCTTGAATAGAGACCGTGCCCATGTGGAGGAGAAATAATTGAATCACTGCAGCACGTTATTCTTTACTGCCCTCTCTATACAGGTACTCACCAGGAAGTGTTATCCCCACTCCTTTCTAAATATCTCAGTTACTCCAATTCTTTTTACTTTAAGTTGCTTCTATCTGATGAATCCAATTTTATCTCCTTGACTACAGCCAAATATTGTTTGGTGGTTTGCACAGTGCGCAGTAAATTAACCCTAAATGTTGTTAGGTTCTACCAGAATGCTTTTACTTTATTTTTTTAATTACTGTAATTTTATCAGCATTGTATCTTTCTTATTTTTAACTAACTTGTCATTTTGTGTTTTATTTATTGGCCGGTCATGACTGAATAAAGGATAGATAGATAGACAGACTGACTGACTGACTGACTGACTGACTGACTGACTGACTGACTGACTGCCCTTATAGGCCTTCTATGATTTTTAATGACCAACACCATGCCATAACTGCATCACTCCTTGATATAGTATGTTAGGCCTTGAAGGTGCGAACATATATTTCCTGATTATTTGAAGCTAGGTTCTTGGTATCTATTTTAGACAAGTTAATAAAGCCTGTATATTAACAAAAACATTGCTTGTGTCTACTGCTAGAGCCGGTCTTTTCATTAGGCAAAGTGAGGCAGTTGCCTTGGGTAGATACTGAAGGTTGGTAAATAATGGCAAGGTCTCAGAGAGATCTCGATTGATGATCCTCCCCTGTGCTCTGCGAGCCACACTGTAGCCCTCCAGAAGATACAGTCCCATCAACATTGTTAAAGCAAGTTTCAAATACTGGTTTGAACTTTTATCTATGTGGAATATATGCTACCAACTTCAACTTAACCTCAGAGCAGTGGTTTTCAACCACTGGTCTGAGGACTGGCGCTGGTCCGCAAGAGATTTCCTGCTGGTCCATGGGGAGGCTGCATCCCATTCGTTGTGGACTGGCATCACCTCTTCCTTGGTTGGTATCGCTATTGCAGGGGGTTCACCAGTGCTGCTGGGAAGGGCAGGGAGGGGAGAGACAGCTCCGTGGGAGCCAGCTGGGAGCCACGCTGCCCTGATTTTGGTATTTTGTTCTTTTATTGACTTTTTTGTTCCTTGCTTTTTGGTTGTCTTAGAGAACCTTTTATTTATTTATTTATTTTGGTATTGCGTTTGGGAACTAATACAAAGAATACTGTAGTATGTGTATGGTGCTTTTTTGTTTCTGCCGCAGCAGTCCCCAAGGTGGTTTTTCTGTTTTTGCCAGTCCCCAGCTGTGGAAACGTTGAAAACCATGCCTTAGGGGAACAAAACATTTTGGACCAGCCTTGAGATCATTTTCTACTACTCAATTTTGCAAGTATAGTATTCACTAACTTCTCTAAACTAGTAGGAAGAGGCCATTCTATCCAGAGGTTGTGCTTACAAAAAACATTTATTCATTTCTGTAGTCTGAGAGATATCTTATGAGAGAGATTTTGGATTCAAGTACAGTAAAAATAGAAAATACACTTATGTGCACTTTTACAACTTTGGGTTTAAAAATTAGATCAACAATTAAAAAAATAAAATAAAAACAGTATAGGGGAGCTCTTAGCTACTGAAGCAATATTCATGCATATTTTTCTTGATCATTTAAAAGGTGACCCCTCATTGCTAGTTTATATAAATTGCCTTTATATTTTTGTTTGATAAAGGGCTAAAAAAGCATATTGTCCTAAGCATGCTATAAAGATTGAAATGCTGCTGTTTTTATATAAGTGGTGACAATAAATCACAGTAATATCTAGACAAAGCTACAGTTTGATATATGAGGAATCCTCATGGATACAAGTTGATAGTATGATGAAGTTTAAAATGCCAGACAAGAAAAATACATTGTGCAGGTGGATCTAAATCTTTACACAGTTGTGATTTCTAACTAACCTGTCTGTTTCCATCATGTAGTAGCTTCATGATCATAAATACAGAAAAGTACAGACAGTATAACTCATTCCTTAGCTACAGCTTGCTCTATGTTGTGCAGACAACTTGGAGGGGGGGGAAGGCTTTACTTACCCCAGACAAGGACAATGTATCTCAGTGGAATGAAATACAGGATGACTGTGAACACAGAGAGGGCAACAATGCCCAGCCAGCTTAAGAATGGAACAGTCCAGTTGAATGTACTGAAAGAAAAATTAACAGAAGGCATACGTATAACAACTTCACAGAAAATAATGAGTAAAAGAAATACACCAGCCAGGTAGAATAAAGACCTATACGTGTGGAAAAATAGCCTTCGGTGAGAGAAACAAAGTATCTATGAATGTATGCTTATAAAGTACAATATAAACCCACTCCCTACAAAGTGAGCAGTGGTTATCTTAATGGGTTCTTAACAGCAAATATATTTTTTTCCTTCAGAAATATATTGGTATTTCTGATCTGCCCTCATGAAAAGAACAGCACATTTATGTCAGAAACTGCATAATCAGTGTGATGGGATTTTTGTAGTGCATCTATCATAATCCCAAACATGCAACTTTTTTCAGTTGACAGGGGAAACACACACACATCTGAGAGCAATGGAGCATGGGTGTGCCAACACTCACTTCTTTATCCTTTCTCCAAAGGAAGCCACTTCATCAAGGATGTTCTGGACACTGACACAGACTTCCTGGATGGCATAAAGCTTGTTCATAAAGCCTTTCTTTTCACTGTCCTAAAGGATATGAGAAGAGGACAAATAAGCAGTCACAGGGAGGCTTTGCTGGTCATCTTGGAATTATTCAAGTTTCCCTTAGAAATGTGGAAGTTACAATTACAGTACATTTTAAGAGAAAATGCACACACATTAAAAAAATAAGTTCTTTCCCTGTGTTTTGAACTGAATGCCAGGAAGGTATATAAAGGAGTACACAGTATGGACTTCCTTCATTTTCACTGCATTAATTTCTTATATGTTCAATAATTCAGCAGCTTGGGTGATGATGATGATGATGATGATGATGATGATGATGATGGTGATATTATGCTGAGAATGGCCATTTAACGTCCTGGCTACTTTGATAAGAGGTAAGAATCAGTATATTACTTACATTTCTGAAATGGCCTTTTTGTTGCTACAGTGCTTTGGCAAAGGCTCTGTGCTTTCCACTGCTGATTTATAAAGGAATGGTACTTTGTTATTAATTATGGGGGAGTAGAAGCATACATTTTTGAGATAATTAACAGTAGGTATGCAAAGGCTTGAAGCAAGCTACATGTCAAACCATGTGGTCTGCTGTGATGTTAAACTAACAAACTATGGTTTGCAAATGGCTAACAAACTGGAAAATGGAACCATGTTTTGGGACATGTTTGCAAGCTGCAAAGTATGGGGCAGATTTGTTAGGCATTGGGGAACATTTTGGGACAAACTGGGCTTTAAAGGAGAGACGGACTCTGCTTGAAACAAAAGGAAACCAGTCTGCTGGCACATGACATAAAAAGTGGCAGATCAGCTTTTAAATGGAATTCAGGGGAAAGCCAACACGAACTAGTTCAGGTTAAATCAACCCTAAAGGATGAAGAGGAAAAAGTCTCTAATTGCCCAAATGTAGGAGGAGAGGAAATAAGCTTTTGGCAAGACATGATAATCACTCAGTGAGGCCTAAGTGCCAAACAATAAGTTGCATGCATCTGAAGATGGACACTGGGTTTAGATATTTCTGGGCAAATGCCAGAAACTTCAGAGCCAAAATAGGAGAGCTGAAATGCCTGGTTTTAAAGGAGTGGCTAGACTTAGTGGGCATTACAGAAACCTGGTGGAATGGAGAGAACTAATGGGGTATGTTCATCTTTGGGAATAACCTGTATGAGAAGTACAAGGAAGGGTGCAGTCATGTTGCTCTGTGCATCAAAGAGGACACAGAATCCAACAGATTCCTCAACAGAAGCACTGCGGGTAACAATGCTGGCTCCAAAACTAACTTAAGTTATAGGAATATGCTATCATCCTTCAGACCAGAATGCTCAGGGTGATCTTGAGCAGAAGAATAAAATCAGGGAGGCCTCAAACAAAGGTAATACTGAAATAACGGGTGACGTTAACATTGACTTTGTAAATGTATGTTCCAGTTCTGACAAACAGGATAAATTTCTTGATGTCCTAAATTACTGCCCTAAAACAGATGGTCATGGAACCAACCAGTGGGGAAGCAATCCTCCATTTAATCCTAACTGGAGCAGCCCAGAATATATAATGGTTTATAAATGTTGTTGAACCAGTTGGAAACAGAGCGCTATCAGATTTAATATATATTTAGGTGGAATGCTGGTGAAAAGGTCCAACACAGTCATGTTTGACTTCAAACAAGGGAATTTCTCTAAAGGAACAGACTGGTAAAAAAGAAGTTGAAGAAGGGAGCCAAGAGGGTTAAATCCCTGCAACATGCCTGGAGATTACTCAAAACCACTACAATAGGGGCACAGAGAGTAGTCATACCACAAGATATAGAAGGTAGCATGAAATCCAAGAAGTCACCAGCATCATTAATGAGTAAAGAGAGAGAGAATTGAGCTTCTTTCAAGGGAGGTACAAGTGGACAATAAGAGAAGCATAACATCAAGGCCAACAATAAAAGTATAGAACACCTATCTGATCTTGAACTTAACCAGGAAGGGAGTGTGAGGAATTAGAGTGAACGGTAGTGACAAAAGATGAAATTCTAAGCACTACAGACAAACTGAAAATTAATAAATCATTGGCTCCTGATGGTATTCATCCTAGAGTTCCTAAAGAGCTCCAATACAAAATTGGCAATGTCCTTACAGAAATATATAATATGTTCCTAAGATCAGCCTCTGTACCAGAGGACTGGTGAATGGTCAATTAACACCAATTTTTAAAAAGGGATCCAGGAATTCTAGGCGATAAAGACTGGTTAGCCCAATGTATTTTTTGGTAAATTGGTTCAAAGCATTATTAATGATAAAATCATTAAGCACACAGAGGGACAAGCTCTTCTGAAAAAGAATCAATATGGCTTATGCAAAGGTAAGTCCTGTCTCACTAACCTATTAGAATTCATAGAATCACAGAATAGTGGAGTTGGAAGGGGCCAAGAAGGCCATTCGGTCCAACCCCTGCTGTTGCAGGTCACCAATTTACATCATCCCGCTCAGATGACGGTCCCTAATAGTGTGAATAAGGATGTGGACAGGGATGATAAAGCAGACATTGTTTACTCGGACTTTCAAGTAACACAGTCCCTTATCAATGGGTCCTGAGCAAACTCAGCATTCATGGAATAAGAAGGGGAGGGGTTCTTGTATGGATCTGTAACCAGTAAGAGATCAAAAAGCAGAGCAGGAATAAATGGCAATTTCTCTAAATGAAGGGATGTAAAGAGTGGGGTTCTACAGGGTTCTGCATTAGAACCAATGCTTTTCAACCTGTTCATTAATGATCTGGAATTAGGAGTAAGCAGTGAAGTGGCCAGGTTTGCTGATGACATTAAACTATTTAGGGCGGTTAAAACCAAAATGGATCCAAAGGGATCTCATCAAGCTGGGAGAACAGGCATCGAAATAGCAAATGCAACTCAATGTAAGCAAGTGTAAAGTAATGCATGTTGGGGCAAAAAAGTATTGGCTGATGGGATCTGAGCTAGCAGTGACTGATGAAGAAAGGGATCTTGATTACGATGGTAGCCAGATAGATGGAAATACCAACTTAGTGTAGAGCTGCTGTGAAAAAGGCAAATACCAGATTGTGCAAAATTGGGAAAAGAATTGAAAATAAAACTGCATACTGTCCTACAAATCTTTGGTGCAATCAGACTTTGACTACTATGCACAGTTCTGAATACATTACCTGAAAAGGGACATTATTGATTTGGAAAAGTGTGGAGAAAGGCAACTAAAATGATAGAGCTGGAGCAACTCCCCTATGAAGAATGGTTACAACAACTGGGATTGTTTCATTTGGGGGGGGGGAGCAAGTAAGGGAGACAAGGCAGAGGTGTATAAAATTGTGCGTGGTGCAGAGAAAGTGGAGAGGGAGAATTTTTCCCCTCCTTTTTCCGTGTTTCCCCAAAAATACGACCTATCTCAAAAACAAGACCTAGTACTATTTTTGGTACTTGCTAAAATATAAGACCTACCCCGAAAATAAAACCTAGCTGTGTTTATTCCCAGGGCCTTTTTAAACTTTATTTTTTAACTTAACTTTAACTTAATGCACTGTGTGGAGGAAACATGCTTATGCAGCTCTGCTCCTTCTGCTCCCTGAGGAGGGAGCAGAGCCAGATAAGCCGATGCTTGCTCTATAGCACTGGTTCCTGTCACAGGCGGAGTGATACCAAATGCACCAAATGTACATGTATTCATGCTGTTGTACATGAATAAGTGTGGATTGTTGTACACATTAAAAAATAATAAAAAAAATACGACCTACCCCAAAAATAAGACCTAGAGTGTTTTTGTGAGCCAAAAAAAAAAATAAAATAAGACAGTGTCTTATTTTCGAGGAAACATGGTAATTAGAATCTGAGGTCATCCCATGAAACTGATTGGTGAAAGGTTCAGGGCAAATAAAGTACAATTCCCTAAAAATAAGCTGCAGTTTAAGATCAGACTGTGAGAGTATTAAAAAAAACAACAACAACAACAACAACCTTAAGTACTATACCATTGTCTTACTTATTATTTACTGTATTTTCAATCCACCTAATAAATCAGCCTTGTCTAGGTAGATTATGAACAGTTAAAAAACTAAAATGCTATAAAACATTTAAAAATAAAATCCTATACAAATATTTAAAAGAATAAAATACTTCCCTCACTGATACAAGCTCAAAAAGTGCTAGTGGAGTTCCATTGACTCTTTCTATTGTAGACACATAATGGGGAAATGGTCCTGCAAGAATAATGTGCAATCATGATGCACACCTGTGTAATTGGTTGTGTAAACATGGTTGCACAAATATAACTTTTCTTCTTGCATATTCAGAACCTAGTTTCCACTAGCACAATATTATTTGCAGTAGCAAATGACCGTTGGCTACTGTCTGAAATTGTAATAAAAATAAAGTTGGCTTCTTTTCTGTGAATTTCTGTTCTTTAGAAATTGAGTTGGGAGAGAGATCCTTTAAGCATTTAAGCATTCAAATATATTCCATGATACTGGCTGAGAACAACATTTATTCTGAAGACCTTAAAAGCTTAGCTACAAAAGACAGATTATGCATAAATCAGCAATTGTGACATGCTTATATATTAGTAATGATTAAGTACATAGTTAAAAGTCATACATTTCAAGAAATGGCAATACTGTTTGTTTGTTTTAAAACAACATCTGTGATATAAGTCAATTGATCACCCTAGTTTACCCATGAGTTTAAGAGTGTTGCTCCCTATGAAAATACAAGCTGAGCAAGCATATTCTTAATGAATTCTTCCATTTGGATAACATACATCAAACTATATGGCATAACTAGGATTTCCAATGTTTATTTTACAGAAACAAAAATCATTCACATATACTACTTATAATATATAAGGCTGCATAATTCTAGAGTTGTAGACTTAGTTGTATAGGACTTTATTTAAATCATATTCCTGCTGCAGCATTCTTTCCAGCAAATTTGACCATATAAGAGAACCATGAAACTATCATTCTGTTCAATAATTACTAAGTAAACAATAATCCACCCTCAAGTCAAAACTGCTTTCTGTTCT